TCCCAAGATGGCTGCCGGGCGGATGCTTCCTGGGCGGTGAGTACTGTTTATTGCGGGCTTCGTGTAGGAATGGCTCCGGCTCGGGAGTGATTGTTGCGGGAGAGGTTAGTGGGGTCGAGCGGGAGGTCTGGAGTGGGTGACCTTCCGGCTCGCTGGCTGAGCGGGGCCGTCGGCGGGGTCGGTGGGTTGCCCGCGGAGGGAGAGGGTTTCTGTCCCACCCTGTCACCCCGAAGGGGGTGCGGGCGCTCCCGGCCCAGACCCAGCAAGCTCGGGGTTACAGTTACTGTATCCAGGGAAGCAGCTCGAGTTTGGAGCTGTCAACAGCCTAGAGCGCCTGCACCGGGCTCCGCGGCCTTTAGTCCCGGCTCGGATGGAGGAGGATTCCTCTCGTTTGGGGACTGGCGTTTGCCTCTCTGCCATTTGCTAGAGAATTTGCAGAATTCCGGCTGTGCAGCCAGAGAGGAAAAAGGGGTACGTTTCTAGAGGGGCAAGCCCTTGCAGCCTGAATTTTATAAGTATTCTGACAGCGGCATGGGATTTAAAATGAGCCTTGAATTGTCAGCCTTGCAGTGCAGGGTCTTGGGTCTGGGGAAATGCTTGTCTTTGCTTTTCCAGATCGTGACGTAAATAGATAATCATCCCTGTGTCTTTAAAACATATGCGTACTTGCAATATCCTACGAAATCTTTTCTCTGGCATTGGTAAAATGAAATCTGAAGTCAGGCTTACTGTTCGTTTATACTTAAAGCACTTATTGGCACACCTGCTTCATGAAATTGAACGTTTACATTGATACTGATAGATGCTTGAGAATAGTTCCTTGAAGTAACTAATTCCAAGTCACAGGAATCGATTATTGTATAACATTATTTACCATGATCTCCGCACTGATGGGTGCTAGTTTAATTATTTTGCAAGTAAGACTAGCATCCGATCAGACACGATTCAAATTTCTGTGACTGCTTATTTAAGTTAGAATCAGTGAAATAAGACTTTTGTACGGTGAAAGTGCACTTCTCATTCTGGAATGTTAGAGACTGGAAACATGTATCTATTAAGCTGCTCTTTAGTTCTTTTTTGTTCATGAGCAATGACCTGGTCTTCCAGAAAATAATGACATTATCACTCACATATGATGTGTCTTTGATGTGTGTGATTTAGTATAGTGTCATCCATAGCTTTCTGTACTTTCAAGGTGAGAAGAATGTTATTTTTAGTCATATTTCAGCAAGGGTAGAATTAAAGGCTTTGGGTCATCCTTCAGATCTATCCTCAAATCTTTGCTTTTGAAAATCACTCTGCCCTGGAAAAGATAAAACTTTTACATTGTAACATTTTATTTTTAAGAAGTGAACAAAGTGGAATGAAATCGGTAAGGTGTGTAAGTAGTTCCTGCCTGGAGGGTCATTATGAGCATAAATGGTAAACCAGTGCCTGTCACAGTGTGTGTATGCCTGCTTTGCATGTGCTGTTTCTTCTGCCTCCTTTTGCATTTGAGAGTTTCCTTACCTTCTTCCCTTTTCCCAGAGCATCAGGATTTAACGTGCAGAGTCTGACCAGAACTAGCAATCTGGACTGTGATTGCTAAGTAGACGAGATAAGCCTTTACTGCTGGGGTTTTGAGGTTGAATCAATATTGTGTGAGACCAGACAAGTTGGAGTTACCGTAGCGAGAGTATGATAATTGGGCACTGGGGCACGTGTAACATGAAGGTTCATAATTCACATTCTAAGAACCTCAGAGATCGTCTGACCCAAGCCCTTCATTCTGTACATTAAGAATGGAAACCCAGGGGAGCTCTGGTGGCCTAGTGGTAAGGAGCTGCAACTACAATCCCAGAGGTGCACGGTTCAAATCCACCAGATGCTCTGCCGGGGAAGGAGGGACAATCTCCTCCTGTACCAGTCAGATCTGATTTGATGGTACACTCACACAAAAATAATAAAATAAAAATAAAAAAAAAAAAAGAATGGAAACCCAGAGAAACTTGCTATAGTCATGTTGCTCAGGAATAGAAATCAGTCTTTGGACATTTAAAAGTGTATTTTTTTCAGTCTTTCCACAACCTAATTGTTGATGTTGTGTACTGTAGCATCAGAACCGACCCAGGGCTGACCCTTAGGTGGGTTTTCTTAAGCAGTTAATCACACGGGAGGCGATTGCCCACCCTTCTCCCATCCACAACCTAATACCTATTTTATTACAGTATAATATTTTCATTGATAATATATTTTGAAAAGTTGTGCCTCCTTAGCTGCATTTATTACTTTAAAAAATTATTCGTCTAGGCTCACTGCTATTCAGTCAGTTCCAGTTCAGAGTAGCTCTGTGAGTAGCATGGCCCCATTGTGTTTCTAGGGCTGTGATAGGGAAGCTGACTTTGCTGGTGTGGCTGGTGGAGTCAGACTGCTGACTTTTAGTAAGCAGCTGGTAGCTGTAATGACAGTGCCGCCGGGGCACCTTATTAAAACACAGGCTCCTTACTCCTTAGAAGAGAGGATGGTGTGACTTTGTCTCATGCCTTGGACATGTTATTAGAAGGGAGATCAGTCCCTGGAGAAGAACATCATGCTCAGTAGAGGGTCAGTGATGCAAGTGATGGATTGACATGATGGATTCCAGCATCCTGTGGACTTTGGGGATGGTACAGGACCAGGCACATTTATTTCAGTCTGTTGAATGTGGAATCGCTAGAACGTTCGTAAGAACGGCGTCAGGTCCCTAGCCCCTACCAGTCAGAGTCTCCGATGGGCAGGGAGTGAAGAATATTGCTTCGCTAAATGTAAATCTCCTCACCAAACAGTGGACGATACTGTCTCATGGGAGCAAACATAAAATATGTTGGGCTTTGTGAATATTGAAATAAGCTTAGAAACCTCCATTACTATCTTCATAAAACCTTAGATTAGGAACCGCTGAACTGTGTCATGCTCTCCTTGCTGCATTGCTGGCTGCCCACGTGTGCTAAATAGTGACTATGGTTGGTTTTCAAGGGCAAAGAAAGCCATTCAGACTAGGGCTATACATAAATAAATGTTTTCCCTTCATAGCAAATTGTGTCAGCCCACTACTAAAGATGTGTTCTGCGCAGTGCACACAGAATGCTTTTTGTAGAATAATTGTGGAGCTAAATAAATCTTAACTCCGAAGACGAAAGGGCTATGAGATGCAGGAGAGAGAAATATTTAAAATCATAGAGGAAGAAAAGAGATTCTGAATCCTTTACATCTTCCTTGGGGTCAAAATGATTAAATGAAAAATTATTTGGATTAGAAACTAAAGAATGAAAGCCTGTGGATTAACACGTGAGCTGTCATGTGGTGCTAGCAATAATCTACATTAAAACATTACGTTTCGGTCTATTTCTCTGGCATAACATATTTCTTGGGAACGGCTGGGTGAATATTCACCACATTCAAAGGGTAATTTGGGTATGTCAGCTTTAAAATAAATGGAATGAAAGGCAGGGAGTGAGAGGTATTTTAAAAAAAAAATTGAGCGTGATCCTTCCAAGCATCAAATCAGGGATAGTAAGGAGGCCTTATGGCCTGTCATAAGCCAGTTAGAATCTATACCAGTGACATGTGTGCTGTAAATAGACAGTTTTCAAATGAGCATCCCAACACAAAATTCACCAGGCAGCCCCAGCCTGGTTGGTTGGTTTACCACCATGACTCACATGGACAGTTCAGTGAGGCAGGCTCCAGAGCTGTGGCCACCATGTCCTCAGTTGTTTTGTTATTTTTTAAATTAGAGCAGTATGGCACTTCACTTTACAGAAGTGTAAGAACTGGTTTCAGAAACATATCCTAATTCCATTTTGCTTTATTTTATGAATTAGGAACTGAATTCTTATTTTCATTTTACTGTTGAGTACACACTTAAGTGATTATTGTACCAGGCAGATGTCACACTGAAGACAACCTAATGCTGTATTGTTGAGTGCTAAAGATCGATAACTCTGAGAAAGTTCAACATTTATCTGAAGTAGATAACTGCTTGAGGACTGATGTGGAAGGTATGTCGTCTCTAGGCATCTGAGACTGTTCTCTTGGGTGAAACACATTTGGGCAGCCAGGTACTCAGAGGAGAAACAAAGGTCCACGTGGGCTGATAAACAGCACTGAAGTGTTACCTGAGGGAAATTTGGCTGCTGATAATAAACAGAATACAGCATGTGTGTCTCATCATGAAATTTGAGAGTTGTGCTGTTTTGTATATGTTGTCTCCCATGTCTCAAAGAATTTAACTTACCATGTCAAGAGCAGGAGAGGCAGAGGGAGAGTCAGGAATAGAAAGAATTGCAGCTACTTGGCTCATGAGACCAGAACGACGGCGTGTGCCTAGCTGCCATCACTGAACATTTAAATCAAAGATTATAGAAGAATTTGCTTCAAAGGGTAGAAAATCAGGAGAATTTCCAATTCTCATGTACTCCACACTTCCCTGAAGTCATGACTGTTGGCTGAGCTTCTGAAACTATTACCTTGAGATAATCTTTAGACCTCAAATAAAAAATCCAAACTAACCCATATATCTTAAAATGAGAATAATTTATCTTCAAAATCTCAAACTTCTTGCTGTTGAACAAAAAAAGAGTGCTGACCACATGTTAGACGTGCAGATGCCTTGGTATGAATGGAAGATGCCACAGACGGGAAGCAGTGCTTTCACTTGGAGAACCAGTTATGCTAGGAATCAAAGTCAGAAATTTGTAATTACTGTAAGTTCTGAAATGGAAAATGAGCCCAGAGGTATTTTATGGTAAAATTATATTGGAGCCAGTTACTGACCTTTTCCCTTTAGTCCTCAGAATAGAAGAAATGCTTTTACTAATGGTTACATGAGTCATTTTTCAACATTGGCATATTGTTAGTTTGAAAATTTTCTGTAGACTACTCTCAAACAGTCGGAATAATTATTAGGCCCTAAGATACCATTTAATGTTTTAAAAATTCTCTCTCTACCTTGTCTAAATGTGTGTTTCCCTATTAAAGAGATGTGGAGTGGACTACTGCCTCCTGGCCTAAATGAAAGTGATGTTGAGTTGAATTCTGAAGATGAAGCCACACCGGAAAACTCGGCACTTCCCTCGCAGGAAGCTGAGGATCAAGTGACCAGAAAAACAGAAACCTCTGATTTCCCACCAAATGGACCAAAACCGGAAACAGAGGCAAATGTAAATGCCTCTCAAGAGTGCCCTTCTGGAATTCCCTTAAACATGTGGAATGTAGGTCTTCTTTAGCTTTTTATTTATTTTATAACTAGCTTCTCTAGTTCTTTATTTTCTGTTAGTTTGCTTACAGTGTTTGTATACATTGTGCTTAACACCATTCTTCACTCACATTGTGTTTCATACAATCATTCTCATGCATTATGTTTTACAAAATTAATCACCATTGGACCTTGCCCACCATTACCCAGATCTTTCCCATTTCCCTCTCTTCCTCCCTCTACCCACTAGACTGTGCAACCCTGTGGTTTCGCCCCTAGCCATCCTCACCTCTCTGTTCTTATTGCTTCCCCCTCTTGAGCTCCATGCGTATTTTACTAGTTACCCTTCTACTTTTACAGTAATGATCTTAAATAGTCTTTGTCCTTATTCACGTTCACTTAGTAAAATGCTCTGCAGTCTTTCCAAAGTTATGTAGCATTTTTTAAAATCATTGCCTCTTAGTGCTGCATAGTATTCGTTTGTGTGAATGTACCACAATTTCTCAGTCCAAGTGGTTGTGTTTGGACATTTGGTCTATTTCCTTGCTCTTGCGATAGTGAATAAAACTATCTAGCATGTTCTTAAAGCCTTTGGTGTGTGTGTGCGCGCGCGCGCTATGGTAAGAATGGATATGTTCTGAGGAATAGCAGGTGGAGACAGATCACTCAGAATTTTCATTTTTGAGGGTCCTGTGAGCCCAAGGGCAGGGAGTTGTGCCGCTGATCCAAAGGTGGCACCTCTCTGGCTGTTCGAATTTACCAGCTGAGGAAGATGCGCATTCTCCTCCTGTGTGATTTACAGCCTCTGAAAACCTGCTGGAGAGTCAGCTATGAGAGTTGGTGTCAGCTCAACAGCGTTGGGTTTGTCAAACCCTTGGCCATTTTCATTTTTGTTTGTTTTTCATAATAGAAGTTAAGACAGAGGATGGGGAAAATGACCTTGTGTGAAATGACCTAACATGGTACTTGAGGGATTTCTAACATGCTTGTATGTCTTATTTATCAGTATGAATCACTGACTTTTATTCTCAGATTATCAAATGGCTTACTTTGAAACATTAAGATAAAAGCACAATGTAGGACCCTCAGAGAATTGAGTGTTTCAATACCTGTGTTATTTTCATGAAATTTATACCACTGTAAATGTTACAGTGTAACATTTATAGTGTAAATGTTACCTTTTTAATACTTAGCAAATTTTGTTGGGTCTTTTTTTTAATGTACTTCTTCCTTCGGAATGTATGTGCTTCTCACGTTTTTTCCATTTTTGTATAGAAATTTCAAGAATTGCAGAAAAAAAATTTGGAACAGAAAACCTCAGCCTCAGGCTTCAGGCGGAGAAAAGGAAGACGCTGTAGGAAAGGTATTTTATCTTCAGTTTTGTCCATTGTTAGTGGTGTTAATGCTGAAATTTGACTTAATTGAGTTTAGTAACTTTAAAAAAAAAAGGAATTTCAAGATAACAAAGTTTTTAACAGTTTGTCACTTCTTTTCAGGTAAATTGAAGAGTGAAGAAGCAACTCATAGGTAGGTAGAATGTACAGTATTTAACTGTCCAGGGCAGTTTGTACATACGAACTGTTTACTCCTGAGGTTGCCCAGACAGATGACCTATTTGTAATGGTAGCCAGTTAACAGCAGTGAGTGAACACACTGCAGGACACATAGTATGAAGGTGTTGTCTCTCTCTCTCTCGTAGTGAACAGTCCCCAAATGAAGCACAGTGGAAGGAGCTTACTCAGTATTTTGGAGTCAATGACCGATTTGACCCCCCTGTGAAAAAGAAAAAGATTGACAAGGTGAGATCTTTTTACTGCATATTATACTATTGAGCGGCCTCTGTTTGCAAGTAGGCTTGCCTGTGGTACTTGTGTATTAGTTAATTCAGCAGAAAGTTAAACTGTCCACTGTATTCTGAATACCATTCATTTATTTATGAATAAGATGCAGTGGACTTAACAAGTAATTATGTGTTATAAACAGTTAAAAACAACCAAAAGAAAAGGATGTTGTAAAGGCATGAAAATATCGACTCCACTCTAGCCTGAGTAGCCAGGGAAGGCTTTAGTTAAAAGGTTCTGTTTTCTCTGAGACCTGAAGGACGGGAAAGAACAGTGTACAGAGAGAGTGCCAGTGTGGAGGCAGTCGCATAGGAGAAGAGCTAAGAGAGGAAAGTTCCTCTGGGACATTTGAAAAGATAGACAAGGTGAGCCTCATGGGGATGGAGTCAGCAAGGAGGAGGGGGACAAAAGCTGGGGGGGACACATGGAGACTACAGGCAGCGACTAAGCTATGTAGGACCGTGTATTAGAGAACATAGGAAGAAATTTGGATCCTCTTCCTAGTTGATGTTCTCGTGAGCTGGTGGGTAAGGAGTTGCACTGCCAACCCTAAGGCATGTGGTTTGAATCCACCAGCTACTCCATTGGGGGAAGAAGTTGAGCAGTCTCCTCTTGTGATTTACAGCCTCTGAAATCCCACTGGAGAGTCAGCTGTGAGTCGGTTCCGATGTGAAGTCACCTGAAAAGAGCATCCACAGTCAATAGAAAGTTATTAAAGGGTGTTTAAGGAGTTACATGAACTAATCTATGTTTTAAAAAGGTTGTCCTGGCTGTTATGTGGCAAATGGGTTGTTGTTAGCTGCCATCAAGTTGAATACAACTCACAGTGAACCTATTAACAACAGACCTGAGCCCTGTCCCATCTGTCCTGGGACATCCGCACACTGTCTGACACACTCCAGCCCCTTGCTCCACTCACCCTGTGAGCACATGACTTAAGGAACTTTTCTGTTATGAGATGATGGCGAATTGAACAAGAATGACTACCCAGGCTAATGTGGAGTTGATATTCTAATGTCCTCACATTCTTTTCTATTACTTTCCCTATCACAGGAAGGAAAGTGGATGGCTTTTATGTGTCCTGTAGGAGTAGATTCAATAGTATTTGCATCTGGATTTCCTGGAGGGTTTTTGGAGTGAGGCATGAGAGAGCACCATTCAGACTTGTGCCTTAAGTGGTGTTTTAGATAGTGATGTTTGGGTTAAGACCTGAGAGAGGAAGAGGTTTCGAGTGGGGGCTGTCTAGAGATTAGTTTGGGAAAGATGTGACTGTTGTGAGTCTCACAACAGAGGTGTCGACTTGAAACACACACTGAAGAGTCTTCAGTATTTAGGTGATATTCCTACGCAGCAGATTCTTGGGTGCATGAGTGGCATTCACATTTGGGGATTGTTGGCTAACTCTAAGAGCTTGAAATCAGGGGTGGAATGTTAGTGCTCGAGGCAGCACCTGCGTACAGGGGCCAGCCTTTTCTCCTTTCCTGCATCTTGAGGTGGAGTATTATTATTGTTTGTGCTTTTTCACCTGGCCAACTCATGGCTAATCAGTATTTTTTTTTATGAAAACCCCCCAATTAAAAATCCTTTGTTAGGGATTGTCCAGGCTCTGCTCACTCGGGAAGGTTCACACAGAATTTTGCATGTGAGTTTTGAGTCCACTTTGCCATGAATCTTTGTCAAACAAAAACAGTGTCTAGGGCCCCGGAGAGGCAGAACCAGATCGCCTTCTGCCACAGCTGGTTACTGCTCCCGAGCCACCTCATCTTACAGTGTTCAAGCAGATGCAGAAATACCACATTTAAGGTCCTTACAGTCACTGTCCTCTGTCCTCCAGCGTCACTGCAGAAGGAATTTGTCATCATTTTTAAGTGTAATTGTCCTCCTCTTGACGTTTATTATCCTTGTGGACTGAGCGCTTATAGGGATCATGTGACAGTGGCTCTCGTGAGCCAGCCTGTTCATCAGGGAGGATGATCATGGGGACAGCAGTAGTCCATGTGTCCTTCCTGGTAGACTTGCTTTAGAGTCCGGACCCTTGACCTGTTTTTTTGAGGCAATGAATGGCTCAGTCTTTGTTCTGCAGGGAATCTTCTAGGCACTTAACAACAACATATCCTGTAAATAAACCCAGGAAATGTTTTCAAAAGTTGTTTTTGTTTGTTTCTAAGATGGTCTTTAATCTTTTATTTAAAGCATTTGTTTTATTTTCTTAAAGCTATATGACTTTGGAACCGTGATAGGATAGTATGTTAGTATTGGATTGCTAACTGGAAGATTGGCAATTCTAACCCATCAGCCACTTGAGAGAAAGATAAGGCCATCTCCCTTCATTGAGATTGACAGCTTTAGAATCCCATTGGAGGGTTAGCAAGAGTCAGAATTGACTGGATAATTAAGGGTTTAGGTTTGGGTTTTTTATATTGACTTTAGACTATCAAAGTGTTACTCAGCAAAGTTAAAGATATGAAATTAATTGTCACTCATTCTGAAAAGTACAAATTTAGAAGTATTTTTCTAACCTGTCTTTTGTAGAGTTTTTTATTGCCCTACATGTATGAAATGGGAGCTTCCTGATACTGGCTGGATGTGGCTAACTCTTACACAGTTTAGCATTTGTGGTCTGGGTAGCCTACTTTAATAAAAGATGCTGGGGTGCTTTGTGCAAATGTTTTCACTCCAGAGAAAATACTTTGAACAAATTCCTTGAACAATTCCACAACTGCTATTGTGTTCCACCTTTGCAATAAATGCATTCTGGGGGAAAAGAAATACATCAAACACCATTTGAAAGGGACTGCTGCTGTGAGCTCCTCTGTAGTCACCCATGATTGGTCTGTTGTGTCAGTTTGGGTTCTCTCGTGTGGTAGGCCTTCCTCTTTGTAAATGAAGGCTGACTGACAAAGATGTGTTCATCTCTTCCACAAGGAAGCTGGTTTTCATCTTGGAACCATAACACCCTGCTCTCTGCCCTCAATTTGCCAGCACTTACATTCTGTAATCTCAAAAGCGACTATTTAAAAAATAAAACAAAAAGGGACAGTGCTTTAAAAACCTTACCTCACTGCTGTGGGGTAGAATCTTCCTCCACAAAAAGTGCAGCCAGGTTCAGAAGTGCAGCCCCAGGGCTCCTTGAAGGCAGAGATGGCGAAGCTTCATCTCACAGACGTTGGGCATGCTGCTAGGAGAGGCTATTCCTTGGAGAGGGGCATCGTGATTGAAAGGTGGACTGAGAACAAAAGAGAGGAAGGCCTTTGTCAAAGATAGATTGACATAGTGACTGCAGCAATGAGCTCAAGTGTGTCAGAGATGATGAGGACGGCCCTGGAGAGGACAGTTCAGATCTGTTCCTAGGGTCGCTGTGAGTCACACTTGATGGCACGTAACAACAACAACATATCCTGTGAATAATCCTAGGAAAGGCAGAGTTTGGTGAAGTCAAATTTTATCTCCGTGGTTTAGTGTAATTACAGGCCAGCAAGCTTGCACTCATTCTTTGGTTTGTGATCACACTTTTCCATGACACGCCTCTGCAGAGTGCTGTGGTGCTGAAATGTATCCTGAACTCAACAGAGTAAATAATGAACATTTTATTGGAGAAACCAAGATAAAAATGAGGAGTAAACATAAAGCCACAGATGATAGCAGCTGCTCAAGAAGTTGAGGGAGGATGGAGAAGATCCAGGCTGGATTATAAGAATTGTAATGTGGTATAGTTGGATGTGCAGAGCTTTAATCACATACTGAAAGATGGATAGTCAGTGATGTTAAATCTAGGACCGTAAGTGACTTCACTATTCTAGAATACTTTAATGAATACTTGAAGGTGCTTTCTTGAAATCTAGAGCACAGCTTTGTTAGAAGTTACTCTCTTCCTTATGGGATACTGGCCTTGATGGATTTCCCAGATGGATTGAGATAGTTCCAAAATTAAATTTTCTTTTCAGTCAAAATGCCACTTAGAAGCTTTTAGAGCAGAAAATGGGACGTGGGGGCACAGGTCCATGAGCATCTCTCTGAAAGGGCCACAGGGCACCCTAAAGCAGAAGGAGAGCCCGTAGTCTAGCCCCAAGCTGCCTCTAGCTCCTCACCAGCAGCAAGAAGTTTGCTTATTCTTTGTTGGCTCACAGACTTTAGTCACAGTTGTGGTATTGAGAATAGGGTTTATTAAAGAAATAAGTTGGAGTGTAGGGGAGGCAAAGACTATTCCCCATGCAAATCCAGGTGTTAGCTCTGCAGTCATAGGCCAGATTAACAGCAAAAAACAATTCCTTAGTTAGTAAAAGTCCTGAACACAGGAGTTTTTTGTGTTTCCGTTCAGAAACACAAATTCAAGAGCTTCTGGTTTCCTCAATCTTCCAGCAAGGTTTGCTTCAGAGCAGTTATAAGTCAACTTCTTAAAACATTCGACAGGAACAACAGAACCTTGAACTGTGGCCTCATCTCAAGGCTCCTCTGGTTACATCTTGCCAGGTCTACCCAAAAGGGTCTCACCCTGGTCTCCCTGTCACCTGAATCTTGCTTCTTTCTCCCTCAAGTCTTGCTGCTCAGTGTGGGAAGCACTTGCTCTCTTACCATAGTGCTACAGCTGTTGATGTATCTGCAGTTAAGGTAGCTAGAGGCCAGAGGGGGCTAAGGTAATGACTAAAAAGCCAACTTCAGGCTAACATCAGTGAAGCACACAGAGCAGCTTGTAAGTTTAAACTGTCTATCGTTTGGTTAGCAGCAGAATGCTTTAAATATTGTGCCACCAAGGCTCCTTAATTACCTAGAAATCAAATTGTCAAAATGACCACCTTCTTCCCCCTTTTCTTCTACCCCCACCCCATGGATGTTATTACCTCATTATTATTTGGGAGGCATTCTCTTGGAAAGATCATGAAGGCAGTGGCTTTGTGATGAATCTTCCCAGTTTGATTGGGATCCTTTCATTATGAATGCAAATACAGATTCTGTACTGTGGTATTCACTCCCTAGCACAGACTGTGTGGATGCCTCTTTTGAACAAGCACCTCTGTTTGTTAGGTTTTTGTTAGGTGCTATCAAGTCTAGTACAACTCATAGCAACCCTATGAACAAAAATTTTGAACCCTGTCCTTCCTATATCCTGTGTCATCCTCACACCTCCTGACACATTGCAGCAGTCACAATATCAGTCCGCCTGCTCGAGGGTTTCCTCTCTCTCGCCAACCCTCCACTTCTCTGAACATCATATTCCTCTCACAGGAGTAGCGCCTCCTAGAAACAAACCTGCAGTATATGAAGCACAGCCTCGTCATCTTTGTCTTCAAAGAGCTCTCTGGCTGCACCCTTTCCGAGACGTATCTGCCGTTCTTTTGGCAGTCCATGGGATGTTCAGTGCTCTTCTTCCACACCACAGTTCCAATGGATCAATAATTCTGTCATCCTTATTCATTGTCCAGCACTTAGATGCATAGTTTCTGGGCAGTAACAGTTTGTTTTTCTTGAACATGAAAACTGAGTTAGATGGGCACACGTCCAGCTGTATTTTCCATCAGACCAGGAAGTCCTGGAGAAAGACAGGAAGTACACATATAGCAGAGACCCACCGTCAGGAACTGGGCATGGGATGGTGTTGCAGGGCCAACAGGAAGTTAGAGAAGTGGGAGCCTGCCTAGAGCAGGTAACCCTTGACAGGGTCTTAAAAGGATGAGTGGGAAGATGGAAGCAGCTTGTGTCAGGGTGAAGAATTTTCGCTTGTGAAGTCTAAGTGATGGAGCTTACAGGCACTATCTATCTATCTGTAGCATGACCTAAGACAGTACTGCTTAGAACACTGGTCTGTGAATTGATAGGAGCTGGTACCTGAAGGGAACTCAGGGAACTACTGCTTAGGCTGCGGCAGATTCGTGTTGCTCCGTCTCTACCCTCAGGAGAAGTCAGCTGGACAAGCCTGTGCTCAGTTCTGAGCGTGACTGGCATTCTGGCTTAAGCATCGTCTCTTTGTGGATCAGAATAAACAGTTCATGACTCAGCACTGTTCACCTGCCACAGTGGCACAGGTCACAAGTAGGGACCTTTAAGGGAAGGTGAAGTTAAGGGCCTTGAAGTTGGAATATGCTGGAAAAATGAATCCAGGGTGTTACTTAGACCGTAGAGAGAAGGGCAAGTTCTGCAGAAGTACAACAAAGGGATAGTTCTGGGACTGATCACTGGACAGGAGTGGGAAAAGGGCAGTAGAGCCGTGAGGCCTAAGGTCAGCGTCTGCAAGGGCCAGTTGAATGAAAAGCTCAAGCCACAGTAGGAATAAGTGGACGAGGCCTCCAGGTGGGAGAAGTGTAAGTAGAAGGTATACTGAGTGTGATAAGAAACCACCAGCTGAGGTCAGTGCTGACATCACTGGTCTCTGTTCCATAGTCTTTTTTGGACACATTACATTATGATGATTTTTTAAAATCAGTGAATACTATGAGAACAAAATACCTCTCAGTTGATTAGTGTAAATTAAACAGTACTCTGAAGAAATGCTCTCAGGGTTTCCTTTAGATAGTTCTAAGAGATACAATGGTAACTGAAAATTTGGTAAAAGGATGCACTAGATGTTACTATTAGATCTTAGGATATAAGGTACTTAAATTGCTTTTTAAATTTAAGTATCTTGACACTAAAGATACAAATAAGATACTTAAAGAAGTAAATAAAATAATTTCTGGTAGGCAACTGCCCTGTATTTAGTATCCAGAAGGAGAGGCTGTTGAATGAAGGTCTCAAGCCCCAGCAATGAGCGGTAGAGAAAAAGAGGCTGAAGAAAATCATGGTTGGCAGGTCAGGCAGGCCATGCACCCTGGATTCACATTGTCTTAGTGTCCTAAGGCTGCTGTAACAAAAATCATCCCAGCTGAGTGATTTTAAAGAATAAAAATTTCTTTTCTAACCATTCTGAAGTCTGGAAATCTGCAGCTACGTCCTTGTGCTCATGCTCGTTCTCTCTCGCACACACTCACTTTCTCTGTGTGTGTGTGTGTGTGTGTGTGAGAGAGAGAGAGAGAGAGAGAGAGACAGAGAGAGAGAGAAAATACGAGAATGAGTGTGGGAGGAAGATTCCTTCTTGTTTCTTTGAACTTCTGGTGGCCCAGTGTCTGTCTTTAGCTTTGGACAGATCCTCTGATTGTCTCCCCTCATGTATGACCCTATCTATTCTCCTCATTTCTTAAAACACTTCTCAGAAACAATGCCTTTGAATTGAGGTGTTGGAGTACTGAATATCCCTTGGACTGCCAGAATAACAAACAAATCTATCTTGGAGGAACTGTAACTGCCTTGTAAGCAGTATAACTTTATCTCACATCCTTTGTGTGTGTGTTGTCAGAAGGGGCCAGTCACACTGGGAAAGGTTTGTGGTCAGAGAAAGAGAGGAAGACCCTCAACAAGATAGATTGGCACAGTGACTGAAACAGTGGACTTGAGCAGGTCAGGGATAGCAAGGATGGCATAGGACAGGGCAGGTGTTTCAGATGTTGTTCATAGAGTCGTTTTGAGTTATAACCACATGATGTGCTTAACAACAATAGAAAGGAACGGGATTAGGGCTGTTCCACTATGGCCCTATTTATTTAACAGGTACTACCTATAGGAAACCCTGGATCCCCCAAAAAAATCATACATAGGTAGAGAGGCTAGGATTTCAGCATATTTGGGAGGGAGGAAGGGAAGAAGTTATACATTTCAGTCCATAACCTACACACACATATACACGCACATGAGGCGGTGGCCTTACCACCTGTTACTGCGCTGCTGAATGCTCCAAGCCATCCTCTCCTCCCAGTAAGCTGAGAGTCCTGCCAGCAGCCTCCTGGGGTGACTGGGAGTGTTAGCGTGTTTTGGTGTAGCATAGTCCTGGGACTTAGTCTTTCCTTAAATGTTGGTTTGCCTTTCTTTCTAGCCTTTAATTTTCAGATTTCTTTTCTTTATAGTCGGGTCTTGAAAAGAGAATAGACCAGGCTGTGGACGAGTGGAATATTGAGAAGGCCGAGGAGCTCAGCAACCAGCTCGCTACTCGAGAGGTAAGTCGTGCTGAGTCCACGTTTTCTGTGTGTCTACATTTTCAGGTAGATACATTCCTTTTTTGACTATGAATAATAAGGCATCCATTTCTAGTTTCTTCCCCTTTATCCTGCTGTTTATTTTTAAATGCTAGATTTCTTTTTGCCTTGAATGTTTTTCTATTACTCTGATCTGAAATGTGTATTTTTTAAATTATGTGTGAGTAAATGATGCATCCTAGGGCAGAAGAGTGTTTTTCCAAAGCTGACTTGCTTCTGTTGCCATCTTTAACTCAGACTACCTCTCCCTGAGGGCAGTTCTTTGTTGCAAAGGCACATACTTCCGCTTGTCAGTGAACTGTTTACAGCAAAGTCTTCATGTCTGCATCAGCCATAGTGTTCAGCCTTTTTCACTGTAGCTTATAATGTGAAATTAATAGATAAAATAAGTTGTGTTTTTTTTTTAAATACGGTCACCAGAATATTCCTACAGACACCGCTAGGAGAACACACAAAACACCAAACCTGCCACCACGGAGTCCACCCAGCCTCACAGGGTTCCTTCATCTGCTCTGCGGTGGCTGGTGAACTCGAACTACCAAACTTTTGTTTAGCAGCCCAACACTTAGCATACTGTCCTCCCAGGACTCCCTGGGAGAATCCCAGGAGCCACCCTGCCGTGGAGTTGGTTCCGACTCAAGGCGACCCTCGTTTAGGTTTCCAAGGCTGTCGGGTATTGTGTGGGGACACTGCTTGTCTTTCTCCTTCAGAGCAGCCGGTGGATTTAAACCTTTGACCTTGTGGCTGGTAGTCCAGCAGATAGCACACTATGCCCCAGGGCTCCTTGAAGGCAGAAAGAAAACAGTTTTCCTCTCTTCTTCTTTCCTGCATTCCTTTTCTCCCCTTTTCTTGGCCCCCAGGAAACAACAGACTTTTTTTTTTGTCTCTATGGATTTGCTGTTTGAGATACTTGGTGAAGTTGACTCATACAACACCCGATCTTCTGTGTATGGCTTATTCCCTTAGCTTGATGTTCTTGGGGTACATTCACGTGGTGCCATGAAACAGAACTTCATTTCTTTTGGTGGCTGAATGGTATTCACATTTTCTTTAGCCACTCACCTGTGAATATGGATGGGCACTAAAATTGTTTCCAACTTTTGCTGTTGTGAATAATGCTAGATGAAGAAGGTATTTGAAAATATTCTCTATTCTCAGAAGATGTCACAATTTCATAGACTTCTTATGCTTTCAGTTTGGCATTACTTTATTTCACCATTAGTGGATCCCTGTTTTGATTTCCTTGAATATATTGTTGTTGTTGTGTACCATTTAATTGGAGCTGACCCGCAGCTGACCCTCCAGTGGGTTTTCAGAGGGAGGAGATTGCTCGTCTTTCTCCTGTGGACCAGCTGGTGGGTTTGAACCAAATGCCTTCAGTTTGGCTACACAGCACCTTATTACTGGGCCACCAGAGCTCCCTTCATTGAGTACAGTTGAACATTTATGGTGTTTAGAAAGAAGCTTTAATAAAATGAACAGTGTGCTGTCTGGTGCCACAACAGAATTTCAATACTGGTTCAAAAAGTAAAATTTCAGTATTGGTCTAATGGCACCACCTTCAGTGTGTGTGACATTGGAGCCCATTTTTCCTAAGAATCAGCTTTGTGGCAAAGATAATTTTAAAAATTTTGTTCTTTAACAAGGAAAACATCTGCTCCTTGTTATTCCTTTTCTGTTTCCTGGAACACCTCTGTTGGTGTTTGTCGATTCCTGGGGCCTTTTCGTACCATTGCTCTCAGTGCAGCCTGGACTTCTTCCTTCCATGCCCTTTTCTTCTTCTTTCCTGAGAGGCTCATTGCTAATCACTTTTTGGTATAATGTCTCTGTATTCCTTCCATCTTTTTTTTAAATGTCTTTTGTGTAATACATGATTTTACCCATAAAATCCTTCAGTGTTGCAAGTCAAGATTTGAATATGTTCTTCGCTTCTTTCAGCTTGAGAAATGGCCAGTTATGTTCTTCAGGTGGAGTCCTAATTCTATCTCTGCACATTTCGTTAACAGGATTTTACTATGTCTTCTTGAGCTGCCCTTTGAAATCTTCTGTTTCATTCTCTTACTTTTGCATTCCTTCTTGTTTTGACTGCTTTTTGTTTTAGTGTAATTTTTGAGACCATTCTGATATCCATTTTGATCTTTTCTTCCCTGTCCTGTAATGACTTGATGCTTTCTTCATGGATTATGTCCTTGATGCCCCCAAACTCATCTGATCTTTGGTCATTACTCTTCAGTGTGTCAAATCTGTTCTTGAGATGATTTTTAAATTCAGTTGAGCTGGACTGTAGGCTGTATTTCGGTTCTTGTGCACTAGTTTTCATCTTCAGTTGTTCTTTTACATGCAAGTAAAATCTTGCTGAAGATTATTTAAAAACAACTAGAACAGTCATTGACAGGGAACTGCCAGAAAGTCATACTGAATTCAGAAGAGCCAGTGGTACCAGGGATATCATTGCTAATGTCAGAGGGATCTTGGCTGAGAGGAGGGCAGTACAAAACGATGTTTACTTATGTTTCATTGATCATGCAGAGGCGTTTCACTGTGTGTGTCCTAGCAAATTGTGGCTAATGTTGAGAGGAATTGGAATCCCAGACACTTAGTTGTGCTTATGCCAAACCTATATATGTAGACTAAGAAGTTGTCCAAACAGAACAAGAGAACACTGCATAATTTAATATCAGGAAAGGTGTGTATCAGAGTGGTGTCCTTTCTCCATACTGACTCATTCTATACCCTAAGCAAATAATTTGAGAAACTCAACTACATAAGGAAGAATTACAGGAAGGTTTGTCAACAACCTGCGTTATGCAGATGACATAGCCTTGCTGGTAGAAAGTGAAGAAGACTTGATACTACTGCAGAAGATCAAAGACTAAGTCTTCTTGATATCAACATCAAGAAAATAAAAATCCTTACCACTGCACACACATCATGACAGATGGAAAAAAGATGGAAGTTGTCAGTTCTTTCCTTGTAGTTAGATCCATAATCAACACCCATGGCAGTAGGAGACAGGGAAATCACAAGATACGTTGCATTGGGCAAATCCTGTCAAGGACCTCTTTAAAGTTTAAAGAGCAGGGATGTCGGTTTAAAGACTAAGGAGTGCCTGGTACAAACATGGAGGTTCCCCCCCCCCCCAGCTTTCTGTATAGCTGATAGATGGACAAGGAATAAAGAAGAACAAAGAAGAATTGGTGTCTTTGAATTGTGGTGTTGGAGAAAAATACGGAATAAACCGTGGACTGCCAAAAGATGGATGTGTTTTGGAGGAAGAGTGATCAGAGGCAGGGATGGTGGAACTTCTTTCATGTCCCTGAGACATGTTACAGGAGGAACCAGTCCTTGGAAAAAGATCCTGTACTAGGAAAGGAGACAGGTCCGTGAAAGAGCAGAAGACTCTCCAGGATGATGTGTTGACGCAGTGCCTGCCATCATGGGCTTGAGCATGGTGGAGATTGTGACAGTGGCGCAGGGCAGGGCTCATCTCAGAGCTGTTGTTCATACGCTTGCTGTGACTTGTCATCTCCTTGACGGTCTCTAACAACAGCAGCATCAACTATTTGTTAATAACCAGAGTATTTTGGAGTCTTCATAGAAGTGTTTTTAGAAACCACGGTTTAAGTTTCTTGGCCAGCTTGTAAATCACGCACTACACGCATTGTTGTCAAGTCAGAAGCAGTTCATAGCTGACTGCCCTGTGGGTTTCTGAGGCTGTAAATCATGATTACGGAGAGGTGAAAGTATCTTTCTCCTGCAGAGTCACTGGTGAATTCAAATCACCAGAGAAGCACCACCACTTACCAAACACATTTATGCTTCTGGTATGCTATTCATTTCCAAAATCAGAGTTGATTATGGAAAAAAGGCCCGATGAATCAGTGCTTATAGCTCTCTGCTACTCACCATCAGGCTGATGGTTTGAACTTTCCAACCACTCCACAGGACAGAGGTGTGCTAGTCTGTCAGTCCCAGGATTTACAGCCTTGACACTCCTGGGGACAGTTCTGCTCTGCCTGAGACGGTCGCTGTGAGTCAGAGGCTTCCTAAATGATTCCCTGAGATGAGATGCGGTCACTGTGTGATGTCCTGCCCACCAGTGATTGTGTATCAAGTTCAGCTTTCTCTAGGTCACTAGCTCACAGGCCTTCCTTTCTCTTTGCTGTTTGAAACTGCTCGTCAGAATGTACAGAAATGGGGCCTTAACTGGTTTTAGCGACGTGCTTCCTTTGGGGATATCAGGTTTTAGCTTTTGTGTTTTGTTTTGTCATACTGCTTGACAGTGTGGAAGTTGTCATACTTCCATTTTTGTTTAAAAAATGGAAATTATATACTGTATACTTTCCATTTAGACATCTGGCTATGGTCTAAAAAGACAAACGGTTGTTATTTCTTGTCACTCTTCTTGACAAATGAGATTGCTTTAAAAATCATGGTATTCTCAGCACTTAGAAGGATAGTAAACATTTTTCTCAAGTGTTGTTTTTACTTCCATACCAATAAAATTCTTTGTCCTGGTGAAAGTAAATTAAATTTATTTAGTGTTGGATTAAAGAATTCTGATTAAAAGAAAAACCATAATTTGAGTCCTATTCTTCTCCCCATCTAAGTGGAAAAACATCTGGAAAATGTTTGCTGTTCAGACACAGACATTGGAAAGATACTGAAGCCATGTTAATTAAGCACCCGTGAAGAATAACTAAAGCAATCAAGATTGGACTCTTGAATAAATAGTTTAGTTTTAGATTTCATTTCCCTATTTATCCCCTTGGTGCCAATCATTGTGCCTATTGGAGAAGGGATTTTGAGAAGTAGAATTGTGAGTTTGGGGCAGAAGCCCTTTATGATTAATGAGATGTGTACATGTGAGGTGGGTGTCCTTTTGGAAACCAGGTGTATTGGTTTTTAATCAGTACCATTTTCTTTTTTCCAAGAAGCAGTGACTGGGACCTGCTGATAAA